ATATATATATATATATATATATATATATATATATATATATATATATAGAGAGAGAGAGAGAGAGAGAGAAGACAAATTGGCTTGATAATTAGTAAATTTATGATAAATATAAATTAATATAAATAAACGTCTCATTTTCCAAAATAAAATTTTTAGCGAAAAAAATAAAATAGATATACACTTACACAGTTGTATTATAAAATTGTACAGCAACTTATCAAACTTTCATTTGATATTAATAATGCTATAGGATCTATTTCTTTCTCTTCCTTCTGCATATTTTTAATTTTATTTTCGGCCATTTTATTATGGTTTATAATTTTTGAATTGCTAAAAAAGTTAATAAGTTATTATTGCAATAAACCAATATCTACATAATAATAGAGTAAATGATTGAAAAAATGAAAGAATGATGAAAAAAAAGCAAGAAACTGAAAAAATGAGTGAATAAAAGGATAAGATAATAAAAAAACAAGAGAACAAGAAAGAAGATAGAAGTGTAAAAAAAGGAGAAAGGAGAAAGAAATGAAAGAAAACCAATATGAGTTATACCATGCGTAATAGTAATTAAATAATGGTACAAAATAATCGGGAAAATAGAGGATTAGCAGAATAAAGAATGAGAAAGAAAAATATAATCATGTGCCTAAATAAGTGAATGAGAGAGAGAGAGAGAGAGAGAGAGAGGGAGGGAGAGGGGAGAGAGAGAGGGAGAGGAAGAGAGAGAGAGAATTATTTATTTAGCACTTCTTGAGACATGTCTCCTCAAGCAATGAAATGCAGCAATATTATCGGGAAAATAAAGAATCAGCAGTATAAAGGAGAATAAGGAAGAAAAATAAAGTCATAGTTCCTAAATATGTAAATAAAAAGATATCGTATCTTTTCGTAATACCCTGATAGCCAAGTCTGCGCGACCAACGCTCGACCGAAGTTTGATTTCAACTGTTAACCGCAACTTGGCATCAAATTTGAATCAACACTTGATACATCCTGCTGTCAAACTGCGGTAAAATACGCGACAAACCTTGACGTCAAGCATTGTGTGTAAATTTACACCAAACTGCGCGCAAGCGTTGCGCTCAACACGTGACATCAAGTTGGCTGCAATACCGCAACAACGGTTGCGCTCAAGCGCTGAGCGCAACTTGACATCAACTCAACATCAACGGTTGAGCAAAATCAGCTGTTGCTTTTAATGAAACGCATAGGTATATATAATCTATATTGTTAGGTTATGATTTTCAATAACATTAAAGAGGATATCTGTGCATATATATATTTTTTATTTTATACAAATGTGAAATATACTTTATCCGGGTTGCGCCACCACATCGACAGTGCTTGCTAATTAATATATATACTATTTTTTTTTTTTTTTTGAGGCAGAGGAAATGCATTACGCACACCCCCGGAAAAGACGGGACTTTTCCAGGGGTAGTGTGGGGCTCTCCCCCTCCGGAACTAACGGCCGGAGGGGGTCTACCCACTAAAACCTCTGCCGGGCCCCTTGCGGCTATTGCGAGGGCGTCCCGGGAACCGCTTGCGCATTACTTCCGGGACGTCCTCAGCCGCGGGGCGGGGAAAACCTAAACCTAAACCTAAACCCCGCCCCCTTCCCGGGCCAGGAGGAATAATAATTCCCTCCCGACCCGCTGTTCCTATCCTCCATGACCGGACGTGGGCCCCCCCGTCCGGTCACACCTCACCTGTAGGGGCGCTATTGGCCGGGTCCGGTCTCGTCCGGACCCGGCCCGTCCCTACACTCCCGACCGAGGTAGCTGGGGCGGAGGGGTCTAAGAGTTCCCTTCCGTCCTTCTCGGTCAGGAGCCTCCTGGCACTGGGAGGGGGGTGGGCGGCCTAAGAGTCCGCCCTTGCGAACCGGCCGCCCTGCCCCCCTCCCGGAGGCGCCTGGTCTGACTTCTTGTCACGGGGGGGAGTCATGCCTTGCGACGCGTCTCCCCCGCCCGACCAGGCGCCTTCTATCTCCCCCGCGCCGGGCCCTCCGTTGACCCGGCGGTATTGTAGGGGGCGGCGGCGCACGCGCAGATACCCCGGGGGAGGGAACGCCAGCGGTGGCGTCCCCTCCCAGCCCTTAAGTGCGCCGCCCCTCAACCCCGCGCTGATGCGCGGACAGGCGAGGCGCCGCTCTCCTTCTGCGGCGCCTCGCCCCATCCAATGAATATATACTAAAAAATAATATTCTAAGCACTACAATAGGTTTCTCGTTGTTTTGCTCCTCCCGTAGTACGGCCGCAAATCGTAAACGCTTGCTATTTTTTTTTTTTTTTAAGTGGGGAAATGCCTACGCACATCCCCGGCCGCCGATGCGGAAGCGACCGAGGATAGTGTGGGACTCGCACCCACTAAAACCCCACTGCCCATCGCGCCATACGTGACGGTACCCGACATCGGCGACCTAAGGACACAATATCTCGTTAGAACATGTTATAGTTTTATATATAATTTTTGACAAGTAAGCTTACTTACGAGTTATCTCTGAGATTATTGTTGTGCAGATTACCTTTCTATTCCATATGTAGTAAAGCGGTGACAATGTATTTTGATGTTTCTACTTCCTCATCTTCGGTACTGTCGTCTGATGATGTCTTTTCGAACAGAGGCATCCTGTATCCTTTGAACCTAACTTGATCAACGGTAATAACATTAGTATCGTGACTAATCTTGCTGCATTGATAAACGTGGGACGCGGAAGATGGCAAGCCAATGTTATAAAAATTTTCCACCTCTAAAAATTGCTTTAGACCAAAGAGTAAGAATCTTTATCAGCTATTATATCCACGACAATATAGATCGACCCATCTCGCAGAATGCAACAATTGTCTCGCACATGAGTACCTAGGCATATATTACTAAATTTAATTTTTGAATAATGAACAGTATTATTGCTATTACTACGTGGCATTGATACGCGAACAGACATATCAATATCGCGATTATCGCCTCGGCCATGAAGTCGTAACTCAGTCATTCGACAAAAAAATTGCTGTAAAGGTTGACCCGGTTTTCTACAATACTTTCTAAAAATAGACATGTTATTTTCATAAGGAAAGGCGGAAAATGAATCTAAATTAACAAGGCGTCTCACGTCATTAGTCAGATGAAGCAGACCGTGTATGTTATAGCTAGCGAAATTTGAACCGTATAAATCGGTACAACGCACAACAAATTTTTCTAATGCAATTTCCGCGAACCTCAACTGTTTCTCCGATGGTGAATTTAAAAGCAAGATCCTTATAGCACCATGTAGAAGCAAGAAGTGCTTATATACATGATTATCTAATTTAACGTAGAGTACTACTGGTTCTATATACAAAATAAACTGGCGACATTCTGTGGCTTTATACTTTGAATAAACATCTAATGATCTAGGGCGTCTTGCAAATTCTGTAGGACAATATTCTATTAACATTTTTAAGTGATTACTAATTCTTGAAATTTTTCTTGCACAAAGTTTCGATATCCGCGAATATTTCCCAAGTACCCAGGCAGACAATAGCTTCTTTACTACACCTAAACATACTAAATGCATATAAAGGGGACTTGCGAAACCATCCCCATTAGTAGAACTGACAACGGGCTTGTGCCCTCTTTGTGATGATTGTCATCACGGCGCAATCTATAATCTTCATCTGTTCGGACAGGATGATGCAAACCATGAAATACAGTGCGGCCATCGATCTGCATGCCATGAACTTTGCACTTAGAGCATGGGTAATAAGACGTATGACCACAGTGATTTAAGACAAAAGCTCGAGCAGGCGCATCAGCTACAAAAGCTCTTAATTTTATTAGTATTAAAGTGCCACGAAAATTGATACCTCCATTAGAAAAAATTGTTTTTACATCAGCAATGAATTTTTCAAATAAAGCAGTAGCATCATATGGCTTTTGCGCACCTTTATATATTCCGACAACTATAGGTTTTGTATTGTGTAAGTTTGATATTCTACACTGAATTGGCCAAATTTGAACTATACCTGATTTATCTAATGTACATCCGTCAGTATTAAAATCGAGTTCTAGTTCTCCAATACGAGATACAAATGGAGCGTTACAAAGGCTTTCAACAAGTGCAATTTCCAAATCAAAATGTATATATTCCTCTGGCTCAACAGTGCACAAAACAACACGATGCCTTGGTGTATTTAGCAAAGTTTTTACATCTTTGGGCAAATTGATAAAGCAGGTATGTGTTCTCAAAATAGCTAAGACACTATTTCCTTGATTATGTGTTAAATTAGAATCAACAAAACAAGAAGCTAAAGTAAAAGATGGTTCAGACAAACTACTAGAAAATGAAGACAATGCATAAGAAACATTAGAAGAAATGGAAGAAGAACATGATGCTCTATCATCCTCTACGTCTCCACGACTTGTACTGGCAATATTTTCGTTAATGGAAGGAAAGTAATTTGAAGAACTACATTCCGGCAAAGGTGAAAGATGTTGTAATTCAGAATTGTCATTGGACTCTACATGTTTAACGTTACGTTTACTTTTTATTGCAGAATTTTGTAAATGTAAATTGCGTCGTATTTCACTCATAACCTTATTCCTTTGCCTCATAGATAATTTGTGCAACAATTTGCGCGAGGTGGATAATTTTAAATGTGGCTTCATATTTACGTAACTTTGTTCTCGCAGGTGAACAATGTGGTATCCTTGAAAATCCTGGTATCCTTGAAAATACTGGTTCTTGAATCCTGGTATTCTTGAAAATCCTTGACAGTCCTAATATTCTTCAAAAGTTGGTCTTACCAGGCCAAAATGTGGAATCCGTGAAAATCACAAATTCGTGAAAAATATCTAACTGCAATCTCCTGGAATATATCACACCGCAAACTTTTAAACTCCGTGCAAGTTGAACTCTGATTAAACATATGTGCAATGGTTCCTACATACCGGATGCGGCAACGTTTGCCGCGATAGCCAATCAATGTGCTGCTTTCCGTCAAAAGTAGAAAGTATGACGGAAAAGTGACTCCTTGATTGGCTATCGCGCCAACTTCCGACGTGTGGCAAGTGTTACCGCGTCCTGTGTACAGGAGCCAAAACGTACTGTACTTTAACTGCGTTATGAAATACACTGAAACTACTACATGTACGTGACGTAAACTGTAACATTTGTTCACGTTGTTTGCAATTTCAATACTTTCACACGTAACGTCCGGTGTACACTGGACGTGATGAACAATATCCAATGGGAACTGTTATTTCTACATGGCACCGAGTGTGCACCGAGCATTAAGGCCGGTATTCATAGTCTGCTTTTATATTTAAGACCGTTTTAAGTTTATCTTCAGATACTCCATAGCCAATGAAATAATCCGTGCATCATCTGAAGATGAACTTAAGACGGTCTTAAATATAAGACCTGATTATGAATACCGGCCTAATACCAGGGAGTTGATTGTATATCTCATAATTTGGTGAAAATGATAAAAGTGAACGAATTTACTATAATATGTGCAATTTCAATGATCAACATCTAGTGAATTTCCTCACTCTTGTGATTTGCATCTCGTTTGTAAATTCGCTCACTTTTATCATTGGCCGCGTTCAGTAGAACAAGTGATCAGTAAGCGCTCAGTGAGCTCTTGCATCTGATTGGAGTATAGTTGGAGATCTAAAAGAATATGCCAAATCATATACAAGAGCTCCCTGAGCGCTTACTGATCACTTGTTCTACTGAACGCGGTCATTTTCGCCAAATTATGTGATACACAATCGATCCCTTGTACACTTCGTTTAGGCTGTGTTCGGAAACTCCACGTGGGTACACCCGTTGCGTTGGAGTGAGAGAGATACAAGCGTGCGATGAAAAAAGAGGGATAGCACCCGAGTGTAGTTTCCGAACACAGCCTTAGTGGCTGTGCATTTTGAAATGCAGTCTCAATATCCAATCCGATGTTCCTACAGACTGAACAAGATATGTGAGATTGGTGAATTCATGGGAAATGATTGCGATTGGATATTGAGTAAAGGCCAAATCACATTAGCGATTGGCGATTGACAATTAAACATTAAATTTTAATGAATCAACAAGCTTCAGCCTTGCCTTGCTTTGTTCCAATTGGTCAAGTTCCAATCTTCAATCGTCAATCATCCATCGCCAATCGCTAGTGTGATTTGGCCTTAACGCGATGTGCAACACGTAGCGGCGTTCTAAAACTGTAACATTCCATCGACCAGAGTCAACAGAATTTATAATTCTTTATCATGATTGGTTAATTGAGTATTCTTTTTTCGGGGTAGACTTTTGAAACGTAGCTCATCAGATGTTTCGGGTTATTCTCCGTTCAACTGTATTTACTGTGAGTCGACAAATTTGTGAGCAGCGAGAAGATATTGAAGATTGCAATAAGTGTGATAGAGGAAGAATTATACTACACAATGTCACAGGACAGGTAAGAATTTAAATGAAAAGACGCGTAAAAATATGTGCTCTCCCGCTATTGTACATAGATTTATGTTATGGCTGAAGGACCACAGAGGAAAAGTCTGCTGCCACTGAGAGAGTGTCCATAGGCCTGTTGTTTCGCTTTGCACTGCTGCACTGGTGTAGAGCGAAACAACAGACTTGATGTCACAAAAGTCGACGCATACTTACCCAGACAGACAAACCTGCTAAAATAGATTGTGCGCAAAGTCTGTTAGAAGTGTTTGTAAACAGACAAACAACCGATTGCACAAAGAATCTGTTTTGATGTGTTGTCATATTTTCAGATCTTTGGAGCGGCCAAAACGCAACATCAAGAAGCCTGACCGATTTCTAACAACCTCCTCATCGGATGATGGCCCCCGCAGAATACCACCGCAGAAGAAGAGCAGCGTAGTATCTGCTACTGCACTTTCTCACATGGTCAACGAAGACATTGATGACATTCGAAGAACCCTGGAAGAGGACAAGGATGAGACTTCATTATTTAATATTGACACACATACACCTACACAGTCATACACAAACATCAAGATACATACAAATCACCCATCACTTTTACATTATGCTCCACGTACACAAACACATATTTCGAACATCCCAAATTTACAGACGTACATTAACACACAGCCAACACCCACTCCAGCACCTTTTACCCAACAACCGACACAAGCACAAAATTTGTCGTTCAGTGCTGAGGGTGGTAGAGTATTTTATACTAATAGCACTTTGTCTCAGTTGCAGGTTCCAGGAGCATTGATTCTACAGGAGGACCAAGGCTACCAACGTGGGCTATATGTAGGACAAGGCGATGCACCTTTCCGTCCGAGGGATATGCAGTATGAGAACACAGATCAAAGGTATGTTAATTATCATATATAGAATATTATTTTGAAAGATGGTTAAGTACATACTAATAACCCAGCAAACACAACGTTACATGTAACATACATGTTAGTTGTAATTTCCTACTCAACAATATAACTGTTATATAACATACATGTTATATAATAGTTATATTAATGAGTAGGAAATTATAACTAACATGTATTACATGTTAATTACATGTAACGTGTTTGCTGGGAAGAAGATTATTGTAACATATAGGTAGTGGTACAACACATACATATTTGGTTTATTTGTAATTATATAAGGAATTAAAATTTATGTGCCTATTAATATTAGGAACTATTAGTAATCGCTAATTTTATTACAGGAGAATGGAGGAATACTTGCATAGAGTGAGAGCAGCAGTTATACCGAATGGAGGAACACTTTCATAGACTGGAGATTGACATAAGGTATCTCATGTACTTGTTATTTTATATAACACCATACAACGCGCGTATCGTGCGCGCCATTTGGCCTTTGCACAATATTATTTTGGTAATTATTTAGAATACCCCTCCTTACCTTCCATTTTTATGAAAATAGGCTCATTCGACGCGTTTTTGCATAAAATAGAAGAATCTGGCTGAAAAAAGTGTCGCTCTGCCTCGCGAAGCGAAATATTTCGCGTTAAAGTTAGTCACATTTGAAGTTAAGAAATCTGTCATATGAACGTTAAGCGAACTAGGCTTGCATTGAAATGCGTTGCAGAACGCAATTTTTTGTATAAAATAGAAGAATCTGGCCGAAAAAAGTGTCGCTGTGCCTCGCGAAGCGAGATATTTAGCGTATGCCTCAAGTAGGCAATCGTATGCGTCCGTTTGTGCTATGGGACGCATACTTTACGCATACGCTAAATATCTCGCTTCGCGAGGCAGAGCGACACTTTTCGGGCACATTCTTCTATTTTATGCAAAAAATTGCGTTCTACAACGCATTTCAGTATAAGTCTAGTTCGCATAACGTTCATATGACAGATTTCTTAACCTCGAATGTGACTAACTTTAACGCTAAATATTTCGCTTCGCAAGGCAGAGCGACACTTGTTTCAGCCAGATTCTTCTACTTTATGCAAAAACGCGTTGAATGAGCGCATTTATTTATAATATTTTCATCAAAATGGGAGGTGAGAAGGGGTCTTCTATATAATATTACCGTTATTTTTATAATCGTGCACACACAATTTACATGCCAACGCAACCTGATATGTCACAGGCTGCGTTCCATTTAACGCTTATGAGCACATATTATCTATACCCAGTTACCAACATGTTCACAAAAGGGCACTTCAAGAACTCATGCTCTCACCGATTTTTACTGAGTAGTAAACGTAACATGAACTATAGACATTGCACGCATAGGCGCTCATAAGGTTTGTCGAGTAGCTTCTACTTTTCACACTTTTACACCTAATGCCCGTTGCACACTAATGCACCCCAAACAACACAATTCTAAAAAAAACATTCTGAGGGCATTTTTAGGACAGAGGAATGTTCTCAGAATATTTGTAGGAGTTCCTTGAAGGTGTCCAATCAGGAAAAGATATTTACAAACATATTAAAAAAAACATTTTAAAAATCATTGTTAAAATGTTAAAAATAATGAGATAAGTTCACTCTTTTTCCTTTTAAAAACGTTTTTTCAACGTCTGAAGAAATGTTTTGCTTGTTTTAATATTTAATAAACGTTTATATAAAATATTTTAGAAAAACATTTTCTAAATGTTAAAATAAACGTTTATTAAATATTAAAAAAAAGCAAAACATTTCTACAGACGTTGAAAAAAACGTTTTTTTTAATGAAAAAGAGTGAACTTATCTAATTATATAGAACGTTTTAAAAATGTTTTTTCAAATGATTTTTAAATATCTTTTCCTGATTGGGTGTGAGCTATCTAAAAATGGCTAATGTTCAAAACATTTATTCGCGTTGATTGAACTTGTTACACTTTCACACTTAGTGCATATTAATTCTTTTGAGGTTTGAAAATGACGTCATGATTTCCGTTCGTGTTACGAGTATAAATGCAATTATGATACACTTTTCACTCTTGCTCGGGACCACGTGTATCAGAATTGCACTTACATTCGTAAAACAAGCGGAAATCATGACGTCATTTTTAGAAACTGTAAAGTAATGTGCACTAAGTGTGAAAGTGTAAAAAGTTCAATCAACGCGAATAAATGTATTGGATATTAGCCATTTCCAGGTAGCTCACACCTTCAAAGGAATTCCTAAAAATATTCTGATGACATTCCTACGTTCTAAAAACGTCCTCAGAACGTATTTTTCAGAGAATTTGTGTTGTTTGGAGTGCACTAGTGTGCAACGGACATTAGATTAAAAGTGTGAAAAGTACAAGCAGCTCGAACAAACCTATAAGCGTCGAATCGAACGCAACCACTGTGTGACAGCTGGAAGTGGTACGAACGTAGCCATAACGATCAGGCAATCAGCATCGTGGAAAAGCGACTTCAAAGATTTGTTCGCGTCGCATGCCCCAACGTGCTCCTACTCGCTTCAACGCACTCTGATTCGTTCACCTCAACACGCGGACCAATCAGAGTGCGTTGGAGCGAGTAGGAGCACGTTGGGGCATGCAACGCGAACAAACCTTAGGATTTAGAGACAACTTCGATATATTCCACATTTTCCATAGACTTCGTTCGAAATTCGATTCGATTGACACGCACTTTTTAGAAGAGGAATACAATCCATCCATTCGCTTCATCCGCTTCCTAAGAAGTGCGTGTTAACTACATCTGAAATATATCGAAGCGAGTTAAGTCTCTTTGTATAAACCTCTTTGTATATTTTATATATCAGAACTATTTAATTTTTACTTACAGAAAAAGAGGAGAACAAGCGCAGACTATGGAGGCTGAAATGAAGTAAGTGTCATGTACTATAGACAATGGCTGCATTCAGCAAACTCAACAGTTGCACAACAGTTGAGTAATTTGTCAATGTAATTGGTCTAGATTTAGGGATCTAATAGCAAGAACCAATAATCGTTGATTGCTCACTGAGCGCTTTTTCTACTGAATGCGCCCATTAATTCGTGCTAGTATAAAGACAATATTGCCGTGCTTTATTTTGTTTCTTTTCAGGAAAATGACTGAATTAATGCAGAAAATATTGAAGTGCGTGCAGGATCGACAAACTGGACCTCACAAGCCAGATATATTACCAGTAACAAACTTCGAACAGATGCAGGCATTTGAAGAAGCGACGGAAGAACATTACACCGATGCTGTAAGTAACATAAATTATTTTTGCTGTCAAACAAAGATATATACGTATATAATATGCTGTTTGTTTTAGGTACATTTTTTTCATTACATCGGTGGCTTTAATTTAAAGGAAGCCGTCCGCCTTTGCCTCAAAGAGGCTTTAGATGACTTTATGGCAACGTCGTATATCTGGTTTGGCCGCGAGAAAGGACGACGACCACTTTTCAATACCCGGCTTGTTAAGGCTATATATGGTAACAAATATTTTCAGTTTTCAGAGAGAGGGAGAGAGAGCAAACGAGTAGTTCATGTCCTTCAAAGAAATCTGTTTCTTTCGCAGATGGAGTATGCAAGAACAACAATTTTGGAAGACCGCAGCGATCAGAGTTTCAACGGCAGATGCAGGAGTCCTTGCGCGTCATGAAAGAGAGGAACCGAATGAGGATACGTAGGCACCGAAGAAATCCCGCTGGAAGGAACGAGAATTTGTGGGACGACGAGGAGCTCGAGGACATAGCCGACACGGATGCTACCAACGACATTCAACAATAACATTCAGGTAAATTGAGATGTCATACACATGTGTACATGTCGTACACTTATATAATAATAGTAAATTTGATTGTTTCTATAATTGTCGTAATTAACATTTTTCCCGCAGATTTCAACTTTAATTCGTTATTTTCAACGTTATTTATATCTCATGACACAGCCCATCTCAGAGATAACTGGTGAGTAAGCTTACTTATCATAAATTATATATAAAACTATAACATGTTGTAACGAGATATTGTGTCCTTAGGTTGCCGATGTCGGATACCGTCACGTATGGTGCGATGGGCAGTGGGGTTTTAGTGGGTGCAAGTCCCACACTATCCTCGGTCGCTTCCGCATCGGCGGCCGGGAATGTGCGTAGGCATTTCCCCACTTAAAAAAAAAAAAAAAAAAAATAGCAGGCGTTCACGGTTTGCGGCCGTACTACGGGAGGAGCAAAACAACGAGAAGCCTGTAGTACTTAGAATATTATAATTTTTTTTTTTTTAGTATATATTCATTAAAGTGTGGGACACCCTCGAACCGTCCCTACTCGGACCTCGGCCCGAGTAGGGTGGGGAGAGGTACCCACATCCGGGATTGCACGTCGGTAGTTTCCGACAACCAGGGGGGGTGGAGGGGTGCGCGGGCCGCTCGGACATATTCCGAGGTCGGGGTCGCGCAACCTGGGATAGCCATCCCGTCGGAACCGCCCGGCTTAACTCCGGGCCGGCGGGACGGGAGGTGGAGTCGCAGGGACCGGTACATTGGCCCTCCCCACATTCTGTGGAGAGGTGCCGCACCCCGGCAACCCTGCGACTCCTCCTGGTCACGACCGCATGTCGCGGCGTGACCGGCCGTGATGGCCCTCTCCCCGTGTGGGCAGCTGCGCACGTGGAGTTTCAGGGGTCTGCGTGGCATTTGCCAGGACCCCTACAGCGGTGGTCCGACCAACGTCGGACCTGTGTTCATATCGTAAACTCCCGGGGTCGTTATGTCATATCTATGACGATCTCCGGGGGAGCGAGGGCCTTGGCTTAACCGCCTGGGCCGCGAGGATGGGGACCTCTATAAAAAACCCTCCCAATCTCAAGTTTCTGGGCCGCGGCGAGGATATGGATGGCCGGCGGGTTAGTCGGTCACTAACGGTCCACCCCGGGGCACCTGGCGAACCCCGGGCGTACAAATCGCCCGACCCCAGCCGAGGGGGCACTGGCTGGGGGGTATCGAGTTCCTCCCGACTTTAGAGCCCGCCCTGTACGCCTTCAGGTTATAAGGGGTGGGCAACACAAGAATGACTGACTCTTATATAAAACAAAACGTAGTGGAGGGAGAGGGAGAGGAGGAGGCGCAGGCTTACGCCTGCTTACTTAGTGGGCGCGTTATGCCCAACGCTGAGCCGACCACCAGCTCAGAAGAGGAGGCTCCTATGGCGGTAGTTATAGAGGGGTCATCCGAGGCCAATAGCGGCCTCGATAGGGAGGAAAGTTTCGGGACGCAGAACCGCCCGGAAAGAGCTGGGATCTCTGCGGGGCCATCATCAGCCCACGCAGGTTCCCGTATGGCGGGTGCGCCCGTCGGCAGCGCCGCACCGCTGAGGCTGCGCGGAGGAACAGAGTCCGGGGAGGATATGGACGAGGGGGAGATTGAGCCCGCAGCTGGTTCCGGGGCTGGGGCAGCGGATCCCCCTGGTCCATTGTGCTCCAAGGCGGGCCAGCTTAACAAGGCGAAAAAGAGGAGAATACTCTCCCCCCTGTCTTGTCCTCCGACAGTGAGGTCGACGTTGTCGATCGGCCCAAGGACCCGAGCCCCTCTTCGGAGGACGGGGAAGAGGAGCCTGTTGAGATCTTCCGGAGCAGAAAGAAAGACGAAAGGGGTCGCCTCCCGAAAAACCCGGCACACACCGGGTGCTTCACGGCGGTGGCCCTAAAGGCCAAGAAGATCCATGTCAAGAAAAGGAAACAGGGCAGGGATGAGGACCTGGCCCTGGATCCCTCGACGATGCTCCGGTACACACCGAAGCTAAGGAAGGCCCGTTTCGAGAAGGCCGATCTCATTGACGAGTTTAAGGAGACCTCCTCGGCGGGACTGGGCGTCATAGTCACGGAACACGTGGCTATGGTACGGAGGATCGCATAGTGTTCCAATCTTAAGGGCACCACTGTGAAAAGATTATGGGATGCCTCGGTGCAAATCTCGGCGGCAGCTGCGGCGCTCAACATGCGCCTGCAACAGTCAGGCCAAGTGGTGACGGCCCCGGAATGGGAGGACCTCAGGCAGGAGGTCCGCCAACTGAGGGGAGATCTCACACACCTTAGGGCGGAGAATGCGAGCTTTAAGGCCGAGAACGAGGGCCTTAAAGCTCAAGTTCTAAAATTGGAGGCTGAAAAGGCGGCTGCGGCGAGGGAGCCGAGTCCTCAGCCCGAGTCGCGACCGACGAGGTCGGTGGCGCGGCCAGCCATCGTGGAGTCGGAGTCGGAGGGGGAGGGAGCTCTGGGGATGATCACCGTCCTCCCGGATCCCCCTCCCGATCCTTCCTGCAGGCCGCAGCCCGGGGAGACAATCCCACCGGCGGTCAGACCTCCGTTGAGGGGGGTCTCGACAACTATTGAGCCCCCAAGAGTGGTGGAACCCCCCTCTGCCGCCGCTTCGGGCGACGGGGGGCTGGAGGCGAGCCTGGAGGTCCTGGTTCCCAGGCTCCTCGCCCGTATGGGTCTCCACCCTCCAGCGCCACCGACCCTGGTGCTCTCTGAGACCGTGGCCATGGAGGTGGAGACGTAGGAGTGACACTGCCCCCCCTCCTCCTCTGGGAAGCGAAAGGAGAAGGCTGGACTCACCCGGACTCCGGAAGTAGCCTCTGGAGTGGGTGGGAAAAAAAGAAGAGGAAGAAGAAAGGGAAGAAGGGGAGAGAGGCCTCCGACTCCCAGGTCCCTCTAACGCTGGTAGTCCCCCGCACCGAGGGACACAGTCGAGTTCCCGGCGCCCCGGGAACCGGCTGCCGGACTATCAGAGGTGGGCTCAGTGGACCCCCCCTCCCCGAAAAAGAGGTGGGAGTCCAGGAGGCTAAAAAAAGGGGAGGCTTTTCCATTTGCACCCGAGGTCCTAGAGATACTAACAGAGGTACAGATGGAGGAGATCCCACTGTTGACGGTAGAGGGAGGTGGAACGGGGGCTGACAAGGCCCCTGTAATCGCAGAGGTGGTCGGCCTGGAGGAGACAAACTTAGCGCCCAACAATGGCGACTAAACTCCTCCAGGCCAATTTAGGCTATACGAGGATCGCCCAGGACCTGTTCCTGCACTCGCTTGCTGAACGCGGGGCAGGCCTGGACGTGGCGTGAGCCCTACCGGGTCCCGGCCGACGACACTCGTTGGTTCGGGGTCCCGGGGGCTCGGTCGCCATCTATTGGAGGAGCTGCCAGGAATCTCCCCGGCCGACACTTATCGAGGCCGAGGAGTTCCTGGTGGCGGTGAGATGGGGGGCCCTGGTGGTGGTCGTCCTTTATGCTCCCCCCAGATGGATAGGGGCCGACTACGAGGAGCACCTTAACCGGATAGCAGGGTTCATCAGAAGATGCACCCCTCTCTTGGTGGTGGTGGTGGCCGGGGACTTTAACGCCAAATCCACGGCGTGGGGTTCCCCGGCCACTAACCATCGTGGTCGGCTCACCGAAACTTGGGCGGCGTTGTCGGGCCTTCACCTGCTAAACAAAGGTTCGGTGAGTACCTGCATGCGCCCGCAGGGCGAATCTATCATTGACCTCACTAGGGTCAATGGCCCTGCGGCGCGCGCGGTTCCGCGACACTGGTTCCGACCACCTCTACATAGAGGTGATTCTCTCCGCCATCTCCCCCGAGGTGCTCAGGCGCCGCCGGGAAAGGGAGCGGGGGCGGCCCGGCAGATGGGCCTTCCATAAATTGGACGAGAACGCCCTCAAGGCGTCCATGGCCGGGACGGAGTGGGCTCGGAAGGATGATGACCCCCCCAGCCCCTTCTGAAGCCGGTTGACGTGGAGGAGGAGGCGGAAGGACTCGGGGAGGATATGAAGAGGGCGTGCAACGCGTCCATGCCCCGAGTCCGTCCCACGCCCTTCAGGTCCGCGTGTTGGTGGACGGAGAAGATAGCCGAACTTAGGCGCTCCTCCGTCCAAGCCAGACGACGAATGCAGCGGACCAGGAGGGCGGGGAACGTCGCCGAGGCAACGAGGGAGCGCAGGGCTTTCCGGAAAGCTCTACGCGTAGCTATTGTGAAGGCCAAGGCCAGGGCTTGGGAGGACATGCTCAAGTCCCTGGACCGTGACCCCTGGGGGCGCCCGTACAAGTTAGTCCTACGCAGACTCAAACCCTGGGCGCCCCCGGTCACCGAAAGTATGGACCCCCAACTCCTCGACGGAGTGGTGGGGACCCTCTTTCCGAACGAGGGGCCGCCGCCCCTCCCGTAC